CAGTGCTTATCACTTGTTTTTGTGGTTTATATGAAGAGTATATATCCTTGCTGGGACTTGCTTTTTTTCATCCAATTGAGCTCTTAAGGCTTTTTCCTTAGAGTAACTCATGAAATGTTCCCTGGGTTTGCTACTAGCCTAGACACGGTGATAGTCTTTTATCAGACCATGTGTGAATCTCTTCATGTATATCTATCCTTCCTGTATTATAGGGAAGAACAGATCAAAACAAGAAAACAAAATAAATTCCTATAAAAACATGAGATGTAAAAGACATATAGGACCACAATATTAGTAGATCTACAGTAGTTACTATGCTTTCTCTTATTTTCAATAAAATTGTCCATATCATCAGGCATAATATAATTGAACATAACATTACATAGCTATTGTAATAAAAACACAACTTTGAAGATATAATAGGACTTAAAAGCAGTTAATAATCAAAACTGGAATGGATATTTTTAAAAAAAATTTTATTTAAAGAGAAAAAAATAGAAAAAGGGTACAAGTAATACAGAATTTCAAAAAAATAAACAGTAAGAAATCACTAATAGATTACACACTGTTATCTTAGAAATAGTTGTTCAAGTTACAAAATTAAAGCATGCAAAGTGGACATTCAAACAGTGAGACTGCAAACAGTTCTGTTCAATGATCTAACAAAAACGCAGTAATATGGTTATCTATCTTATAAACTTAAATATACACGCAGTTATATCCTTTAGAGTGCTCCCTTTTCCTTTCTTTTTTACAATAACAATTACACATTTTGGGTTTTATTACTCCCACACTGTTTACTACATTTTAAAGAGAATAAAACCAACAGAGTCTTTAGTGATTTCACTTTTTTCATTTCTTATTGCATGAATTTGAGCCTTTTCTTCCCTTTTTAAAAATAAGGTGGTCTAGGAGCTTATCAATTTTATTTGTTGTTTCAAAGAACCAACTCTTTGATTCATTGATTCTTTGGATTGTTTTCTTGGTCTCTATTGCATTGATTTCTGCTCTGATTTTTATAATTTCCTCTCTTCTTTTGGTTTTGTGCTTGACTTGCTCTTCTTTTGCTAGATGTTTGAGGTGTAAAATCAGGTTATTCATTTGTTCATTCTGTTTTCCTGATATGGAAACTCAGTGCAATAAATTTTCCTCTGAAGCCAGCTTTCATTGCATACCACAGATTCTGGTAAGGTGTGTTTATATTCTCATTTGCTTGTAGGTATTTCTTTTTTAATTTCCCCTGTGATCCACTGATTACAGTGGTAAGGTGTGTTATTGAGTTTCCATTTGTGGGATTTTTGCAATATCTTTTATCATTAATTTCTAATTTCAAAGTGCTATAATCTGATAACATGCAAGGGATAATTTTAACTGTTTTGCATTTATTTAAATATGTTCTATGGTTTAGTGCGTGGTCTATTTTAGGGAATGACCCATGCACTGCTGAGAAGAATAGGTATTTTAATGTTGTTGGATGGAACACTCTGTATATGTCTATCAAGTCCATTTGTTCAGTTCTGTTATTTCTTTGCTGATTTTTTGTCTGTTTAATCTGACCCTTTGTGTCAATGTTGTGTTAAGGTCTTCTGTTATAATTGTGGTACTGCTAATTTGATTTTTCATTTCTGTTAATACTTATTTTATATAACTGGGTGGTCTGTAATTTGGTGCATATATATTTAGGATTGTTATCTCTTCCTCTTGAATTTCTCTTAACCAGTATGTAGTCACCTTCTTTATCTCTTATGATCATTACTGGTTTAAAGTTCGCATTGTCTGCAAACAGAAGAGCTACTCCTGATTTTTTTGGGTTCCTGTTGCATGAAGTATTGTTTTACATCCTTTGACTTTCAGCCTGTGAGTATCCTTCTGGGTTAGATGGGTTTCTTATAGACAGCATGTGGTTGGATTTTGTTTCTTGATCCATTCTGCCAGTCTGTTTCTTTTAATTGGTACATTGAGAACATTTACACCAATGATTATAACTTATATGTTGGTTTATTGTTGACATGTTATCTTTCTGCTGTTGCATCTTTATCTTTGTGTTCTGTTTAATTGTCTGCTTTGCTTAGTGGTTTTTCCTAAGTGTATCTAAACTGTCTTTCAATATTTTTTGCAGGGTTCACTTGGTGATCATGAAGTTCTTCAGCTGTTCTTTGTCATGGAAATATCTTATTTCTCCATCTATTTTGAAGGACAGTTTTTCAGGGAACATCAGTCTAGGATGGAAATCATTTTCCTTTAGGATCTGGAATACTTCACTCCATGCTCTTCTTGACTTTATTGTTTGTGCTAAGAAGTCTGTTGTGATTCTGATAGGTTTTCCTTTACAAGTGATGTGTCTTTTCTCTCTGACTCTTTTAATCCTCTATGCTTTAGTTGGATTTCTGGTGATTATTATATGTCTAGGTGTAATTTTATTTTGCTTATTGTTATCTGGAATTTTTCCTTCTTTCTTCATTTATCCCTATAAATCTTATGTTACTTTTCTTTGCAACATCTTGCAGCTGTTAAATTATTTTCCTGATTTCTTGTTATTTTGAAAAGATCTTTTCTTTCCTGTTCACTAGCTGCAATCTTGTCTTTGAGGTCTGAAATTCTATGTTCACTTTCATTGAGGTAGTTTTTACAGCTTCCAGTGGAATTTGTGATTTCCTGTATATCTCTTTGCTTCTGCTTTATGTATTCTGTTTGTTTCTTATATTGTTCATGCAGGGATTCTATTTTTTTATTTAGTTCCTCCAATTTTTTAACTCTGTCTTCTTTAAATATATTCAGCATCTTTTTCATTTCTTTTATCATTTCTTCTTTACCTGGGAGATTATTTCTAATTTGAATGCCTTTAAAGCTTCCCAGAGTTGCTTCTTTATTTCAGGTGCTATTATGTCTGATACTTCAGGGATATGGCTTATATTTTCTACTATGTACATAGCTCCTAAGGTTTCTTGGGATGCACTGAATGTTTGCATTTTCATCTTTTTTATTTTGTCATTTTCCTTTATTTCCATGTTTCTTTTTCTTTTATTACTTTTTTTGGGGGGGAGAGAATAAAGTCAAATATGGCAAAACAAAGCTGTCAGTCAAAAACAAGGATAGACATAGCACATGATGTAAAACAGAGTATAAGGTTATCAACAAAGTTTTCAACAATGTCTCTTGTTTCCTTAAAAAGAATTGTCTATGTCATTAGATATTATAAAGTTGAACAAAACAGTAGAGAACAAGACCAATAAAACTTAAGCATTGTAAACATTACAGGACTTCCAAAGGAGACAACAGTCAAACCAGAATGGGCATCTTAGTGAATCTTACTGCCTTCAAAGCAGTTGCCTATATCCTCAAACTTGATACTATCATACAGAATGGAACAGAGTCTAATCAGTCAAAACAAGATCATGGGAGTATTACAGGACTTCAAAACAAGTTAATAGGAAATAAAAAAGTTACTATTATATATCCTGCTAAATTTTTTAAAATTTCCCCTTAATTAAAACAAACATAAGAAATAACTAAATAATTTTTTTAAAGAATAAGGGAGAGATTGAGATAAAACAGGACATAACAATATAACAATACAGGGCAAAGCATGACTGTTTTGGCAACCTAGTGCTTCACCACCAAATAACCCGACTTAATAGTAGTTACCATAGTGTCTGTCTTTTTCCTTGAAATATTTGGATAAAACTTCATATACTATAGCTTTAATTATTTCCATATCAAGAAGGCCAGAATAAAGTCTTTCCAGTTAATAAGTGAAAACTTTATAAGGCTTCAAGGCCACCTAATGGGGAATCATGATTACCACATATTTTTATATATTTGAATCATTACTTACATTAGGGAAACTATTCGGTATTCATACATGCGAGATTGATTTATTTCACTTATGAGTATGGTCTCAAGCTGCGCCCATTTGTTGATAAATATCTCAATGTGATCCTTCTTTATAGCTGAATAATACTCCATTGTAAAGAAATACTACAACTTTTTTATCCATTCCTCAGTTGATGGACACGTGTTATTTCCAAGATCTGGCGATTACAAATTGTGCTGGTATAAACAGGTGCACATATATCACTGTGGTATGATGCTTTCAGTTCTTCTGGGAATATGCCTAGAAGTGGAATAGCTGGAATAAATGGGTCTTCCAATCCCAGCTTTTTGAGAAATCTGCAGACTGACCTCCACAAAGGCTGCACCAGTCTACACTCTCACCAACAGTGTAGGAGAGTTCCTTTTTCCCCACAGCCTCTCCTGCATTTGTTGTTGTTGGTTTTCTTGATCCTGGCCATTCTTTCAGGAGTGAGATGGTATCTCAGTGTGGTTTTAATTTGCATTTCTCTAATGACCAATGATGATGAACATTTTTCATGTATTTATTTTCCATTTGCATTTCTTCATCTGAGAAGTGCATATTCATCTCAGATGCCCATTTTTGGATTGGATCTTTCAATTTTGGGGGTCTGAGTTTTTTTTAATTCTTTATATGTTTTAGACAAGGGTCCCTTGTCTGAGAGAGAGTTCACTAAAATCTTTTCCCAGTTTGTGGGTTTTCTTTTTACCATGCTGGAGATTTGTTTTGACATGCAGAAACTTTTTAATAAGAAGTGGTCCCAGCTATTGATTCTGGGAAGTATTTCCAGTGTGGTTTGAGTCCTGTTCATGAATTCTCTACCTACTCTTATATCTTCAAGGTTTCTACCCAATTTGTCTTCCAATAGATTTAGTGTTTCTGTTTTAATATTCAGATCTTTGACCCATTTAGATTTTAATTTAATACATGGGTCTAGCTTTAGTTTCTGGCAAATGGAGAGCCAGTTTTTCCAGCACCATTTATTAAAGAGACTGTTGTTCTTCCAGTAAACCTGCTTGGCTCCTTTATCAAAGACAAATTGGTTGAGTGTGTTTGTAGTTGTGGTTGTATCTTCTAATCTATTCCATTGATCTTCACCTCTGTTTTGATTCCAATACCATGTTGATTTTCCTACTGTTGCTTTGTAGTATAACTTCAAGTCAGGGATTGTGATGCCTCCTGCTTTGTCTTTGCTGCTTAGAACTGTCTTTGCTATTCTAGGTCTCTCCTGGTTCCAGAAGAAATTTAAGAGTGATTTCTCTAGATCTATAAGGTATGTTGATGTTTTTTTTTATTGGGACTGCATTGAATCTGTATAAACAGTTTTGGGAGAATGGCTATTTTCACAATGTTTGTTCTTCCTATCCATGAGCAAGGGATGTCTTTCCATTTTCTGAGATCATCTTCAATTTCCTTTTTCAGTGTATTATAATTTTCACTGTATAAATCTTTCACTTCTTTTGTAAGAGTAATTCCTAAATATTTCATTTTTTTGCTTGCTAATGTGAAGAGTGTAGTTTCTCTTATTTCTCTCTCTGTGATTCTGTTGTTCGTGTATAGGAATGCTATTGATTTCTGAGTATTGATTTTGTATCCAGCCACATTACTGAATTCATTTATTGTATCTAAGAGTCTTTCAAACGAGTTTAGGGGGCCTTCTATGTAGAGTATCATGTCATCTGTAAACAATGATAATTTAACTTCTTCTTTTCCTAAATTTACCCCTTTTATTTCTCTCTTTTGCCTAATTGGTCTCGCTAGTACTTCCAGTACTATATTAAATAGGAATGGTGATAAAGGACATCCTTGTCTTGTGCCTGATTTTAAAGTAATGGCTTTCAATTTTTGGCCATTTAGTATGATGCTGGCTGTTTGTTTGTCATAAATGGCCTTTATTATGTTGAGGTAAAGACCATCTACTCCAATTTTCTGTAAAGTTCTTATCATGAATAAATGTTGGACCTTATCAAAGGCTTTTTCCGTATCTATAGAAATGATCATGTAATTCTTACTTTTGGCTTTATTGATATGGTGGATTACAGTTATTGATTTACGTATGTTGAACCATCCTTGCATTCCTGGGATGAATCCCACTTGGTCATGGTGTATAATCTTCTTGATGATTTGCTGCATCCTATTTGCCAATATTTTATTGAGGACTTTTGAATTTGTGTTCATTAGGGAGATCGGTCTATAGTTCTCTGTTATAGTTGGGTCTTTCTTAGGTTTTGGTACTAGAGTAATATTTCCTTCCAGGAATGACTTAGGAAGGATTGCTTCCCTTTCAATTTCATTGAATAGTTTGAGGAGTGTCAGCATTAGGTCTTCTTTCTTGTAGAATTCTGCAGTGAATCCATCAGGGCCTGGGCTCTTCTTGGTGGGTAAGGACTTAATTACATTTTCAATTTCATTAACAGAGATTGGATTATTCAACAGTTTTACATCCTCCTGATCTAGCTTTGGTACTTCCTATGTTTCTAAGAATCTGTCTATTTCTTCTGTGTTATCAAACTTTTGAGAGTAGAGGTTTTCAAAATAGGTGTTGATGATCTTCTGTATTTCTGTTGGGTCTGTAGTGATTTCACCGTATTCATTTCTTATTGCATGAATTTGAGCTTTTACTTCCCTTTTAAAAATAAGGTTGGCTAAGGGCTTATCGATTTTATTTATTTTTTCAAAGAACCAACTCTTTGATTCATTGATTCTTTGGATTGTTTTCTTAGTCTCTATTGCATTGATTTCTGCTCTGATTTTTTAAAATTTCCTCTCTTCTTTTGGCTTTGGGCTTGAGTTCCTTTTCTTTTTCTAGCTGTTTGAGGTGTAGCATCAAGTTATTTATTTGTATTCATTCTGTTTTCCTGATGTGGGAACTCAGTGCAATAAATTTTCCTCTGAGGACGGCTTTCATTGCATCCCACAGATTCCAGTAAGTTGTATCTGCATTTTCATTTTCTTTTAGGTATTGTTTAATTTCTTCTTTAATTTCTTCTGTGACCCACTGATTACTCAAGAGTGTGTTATTCAGTTTCCATGTGTTTGCGAGATTTTTGCAGTATCTTTTATCATTAATTTCTAATTTCAGAGCGGTATGATCCGATAACATGCAAGGGATGATTTCAACTCTTTTGCATTTGATTAAATATATTCTGTGAGCTCATACATGGTCTATTTTAGAGAATGATCCATGTACTGCAGAGAAGAATGTGTATTCTGATGTTGTTGGGTGGAACATTCTTTATATGTCTATGAAATCCATTTGTTCACAGGTGTGACTCAGTTCTATTATTTCTTTGCTCATTTTCTATCTTTTGGACCTGTCCCTTGGTGTCAATGGCGTATTGAGGTCCCCTGTTACAATTGTGTTACTGATAATTTGAGTTTTCATTTCTGTTAATAGTTGTTTTATATAACTGGGTGCTCTGGAGTTTGGTGCATATATATTTAAGATAGCTATCTCTTCCTCTTGGAGTTTCCCCCTTATGAGTATGTAATGACCTACTTTGTCCTTTATGGTCATTGTTGGTTTAAAATTCACGTTGTCTGCAAACAGAATGGCTACTCCTGCCTTTTTTTTTGGATTCCTGCTGCATGAAGTATTGTTTTCCATCCTTTGACTTTCATTCTGTGAGTATCCTTCTGAGTTAGATGGGTTTCCTGTAAACAACATATGTTTGGATTTTGTTTCTTGATCCATTCTGCTAGTCTGTTTCTTTTGATTGGTGCATTGAGACCATTTACATTAATGGTTATTACTGTTAAATGCTGGTTTATTGTTGACATGTTATCTCTCTGCTGTTGCATCTTTATGTTTCTGTTCTGTTTAATTATTTGCTTTGCTTAGTGGTTTTTTCCTTTGTGTATCTCAACTGTCTTTCAATATTTTTTGCAGGGTTGGTTTGGTGTTCATGACGTTCTTCAGCTGTTCTTAGTCATGGAAATATCGTATTTCACCGTCAATTTTGAATGATAGTTTTGCACTGAGTCACACCTGTGAACAAATGGATTTCATAGACATATAAAGAATGTTCCACCCAACAACATCAGAATACACATTCTTCTCTGCAGTACATGGATCATTCTCTAAAATAGACCATGTATGAGCTCACAAAAATCTCGCAACATCAGTCTTGGTTGGAAATCATTTTGCTTTAGGATCTGGAATACTTCACTGCATGCTCTTCTTAACTTTACTGTTTGTGCTGAGAAGTGTGCTGTGATTCTGATAGGTTTTCCTTTATAAGTGATCTGTCTTTTCTCTATGACAGCTTTTAATAATCTATTCTTGTGTTGGATTTCTGGGATGGTGATTATTATATGTCTGGGTGTAGTTTTATTTTGGTTATGACTATTTGGAGTTCTATGTGCTTCACTGATCCTAATGTCGGTTTCTGATCTCATGCTTGGGAAATTTTCAGCTATTACTTCTCTAAATATCCTCTTGACATACTTTATGTTGTCTCCTTCTTTTTCATTAATCCGTATCATTCTTAAGTTATTTTTTTTGCATCATCTTGCAGTTGTTGAATTGTTGTTTCCTGATTCCTTGTTATTTTTAAAAGATCTTTTCTTTTCTGTTCACTAGCTGCAATCCTGTCTTCAAGGTCTGAAATTCTATCTTTACTTTCATTAAGGCAGTTTTTACAACTTTCAGTGGAGTTTTTTATTTCCTGTATATCTCTGTGCATCTGCATTATGTATTTTGTTTGTTTCTTATATTGCTCCTCTAGGGATTCTATCTTTTTGTTTAGTTCCTCCAATTTTTTAAAATCTGTGTTTTCTTTAGATATATTCAGAATCTCTTTCATTTCTTTTATCATTTCTTCTTTTACCTGGGAGAGTATTTCGAGTTTGAATTTCATTAAAGCTTCCTGGAGTTTCTTGTTAATTTCAGTAGTTATTGTGTACAATATTTGAGGTGAATGGCATATATTTTCTTCTATATACATTGCTCCTAGGGTTTCTTGAGATGGCCTGGAGGTTTGAGCTTGTAATTTGGTCTTTCGTTTTGTCATTTTCCTGTATTTCTGTGTTTCAAGTGTTATTTGAAAGCTTCCTCACGGTCTGTTGGAAATCCCCTTCTATGTTTGCAGTTCCTGAGACTCTGGCACCCTGTTACTCCAAGCCTCTGGACCTGCAGAACCAATGGTCCTCCTCTGCCTGGTGTTCAGAACTCTGCAGTTCCAGATAAGCTTGGCCTCAGGGACACTGTGCACCCACCTGCCCTTTGGAAGCTCCACAGCTCTCCAATTGCGGCCGGGATATGGAGGCAGATGTAGACGCCTGAAACCCACCTCTCCACTTCACTGCACCCGGAAGCCTGGAGGGTCCCAAACAGTCTGGGCTTTGGGCAGAGTGTGCTGAGCACTCACCACTGACGGTGGTGCCTCTGGAACCTGCAATCCTCCCCTGCTTGCTGAGACATCCACAGTCCTCCAGACACATATGGAGGCTGATGCAGGTACCCCAGATTCACCCAGCCCCTCCTCTGCACACCGATGGTGAAGTGCGGGAGTCCCAAACAGGCTGGGCTCAGGGAATGGCGTGTGCCCGCCTACTTGTTGGAAGCTCCACTGTTCTCCAAGTGCAGCCAGGATGGGGAGTCAGAAGTAGAGGCCTCAAACCCACTTCTCCACTTCACTGCACCCGGAAACCTGGAGGGTCCCAAACTGTCTGGGCTTTGGGCAGAGTGTGCTGAGCACTCACCCCTGGCCATGGTGCCTCTGGAACCTGCGATCCTCCCCTGCCTGCTGTGATATCCAAAGTCCTCCAGACACATGGGGAGGCTTATTCAGGTGCCCCAGATCTGCCTAGCTGCTCCTCTGCACACCAATGGTGAGATGCGGGAGTCCCTATCATGTCAATACTTAATAATCCTTTTCTTTCTTTCTTTCTTTTTTGACACAGAGTTTCACTTTGCAGATCAGGCTGGACTTGAACTTACTTTGTAGTTCAGTCTGGCTCAGGACTGGCAGTGATCCTTTTGCCCAGGCCTCCCACGTGGTGGGAGTACAGGCGTGTGCCACCACACCTGGCTGCATTCTTAAGTATTATGGAATTCTCATTGCTTGCCCATTTAACTTTAAATTCTTGAGTAAACCTTTGCTTAGTATTTTGCTGAAGTAAATACTAGAATGTTAATGCATTCTCTCTTCTATATGCAAGCAGATGGAGCCTTATTACTGTGGTGTTTGGGTTAGCTGATTACGTTAGGAAATATGCAGCCAATTTCAAAAGCTGATGGGGAAAGAAGCATTCATTAAAGTCCAAGGTAAGTATGTGAAGCTTATTACTTGTTAGTTATTTTTGATAGTCCCGCTGTTGCTGGTGGTGTTTGGGGTCATGCTATAAATCATAGCAGTGCAGTTAGAATTGTACTGAAGCTGAAGTCAGGGCTAGTCTGTTAGAAGTTTGGTTTTCCAGATTCATGACTCTGCAAGTGGAGAGGTTTAGCTACTCATCCCTCAGGAAACATTCAGCATAGCATGCTTCTTCAATATCTGCTTGGCCTCCTAGAGACAGGCTACACAAGATTCATGGCCCTCTGTTTCTCTCTGTGCAGGTGGCACAGCACTTGGGTGAAAACAGATTTCACTTTAACTGATGCTTGAAACACGATTGGAAATAACTCCATAGAAGCATGATTGGACATGCAAGGAGGGGAAGCTTCTGTCTTTATCCTATGATAAGTAAGATCTGAAGCATGTGTTACCTGGAAAATCTGAAGATTTTCACCTGAGAAGGTTTTTCTACCTCTACTACAAAGATCCCTGGTGCATACCTACTGTCTTCAGCTTTCAAAAGACTACCTTCAAGAGGCTCTAGATAGAATGGAAACATGTAAGCGAGTGACCTTGTAAGCTTGCTTCAAGGTCTGTGCACCCAGTGGGTATGAGCAGGACCTCTTTCTTTTGCAACAAGATTGGAGAACCAAGGACAGAGGGAAACAGGCAACAACTCCAAGAGGCAAGTAGGCACACACACTGAAGGGACAGGAAGGCTGGTTATAATCATACCTGGAGCATGAGACCTAGGATTTTCTTCTCAAATTCTGATGTCCTTTCCTTCCTCCCTGCCTCTCTCTAAAAACTCCTGAACTTATTCTGACTCCTCTCATTGGATGAATTTCTGTACAATTTTGAAGATACAAGTATTGTGCTTAGGATGAAGGCAAGACTGAGAGAAAGAGCCTTGAAGGTATTTGATCCAGCTGCAACATGCAGTGCCCAGGTGAAATGACCTCTGTGTAGTGTGCAGACTATTGTACCACCTGAGCTGGCTAATGGATTGTTACAAATGCCCTGTCAAATGAGAATCAATGTGGTGGCCCTGTTCATCTTGCTATCCCTTGAGTTTTATTTTCAGAGGCTCATTCTGGCTTCATAACCAGCAACCCACCATCCTACAGGCAATGTCTTCTTAGGCTCATTGCTCTATCTATGCCTGGATTTGATCCCAAGTACTCAAGTTCCAATCAGAGTGGTCTGTTTTCTCTGCTCCAGATGTCTATGCTCATCTTGTCTTCCAGAGATTCTGTGGTCACCCTCATGGTCCATTATCACACACTGGGGCTGATGATGGGTTTTGTGTCTTTCCTTCTCGTTCTAATCTGCCTCTGGTGCACATCTAAAATGCTGCTCTCCTTTGCACCCTCATCTCTCCATTCCATCCATGCTTCCTATGTCCTACTGGGTAAAGTTCAGTGTCTTCAGCATGGTTGTTAAGGATCATCATGAAGAAGTCCATCTCAGTGCTAGATTTTTCTTAACATTAATGTGAAACCTGAGGAGTCAGCTCTTGAAATGGGCTAAGCTGCAAACTGTGTAGCTATGACAGCTCTGGGCATGAGTTCTCTCCATTTCCCTGGTGTGTAAGTTACTTTCATTTCTAAGTTCAAGGATGATATGCTTGTGATCTAATTTGGACTTCCAGTTTGCACTTGAAATCTCAACTCGCATGGCCATGTTTTGTGAGATGATGTTTTTTTCATGTTTGCCTGGTCTTTTCCAGGGGATCCTTGAAAAAGAACTCACAGCTTTTCATTATAGCCCTGTCCATGTGGTACTGTGCATGGAAAAGACGTTAACCAGGGGAAGGATAATGGCACAGATTTGTCTATTTCTTTTTCTTCTCCTCTTCTCAGGTTCACTCTTTTTAATAAGCAAGGCACTGATTGCCTTTCCTTGAAAATATGTGCCTGTTGTCAAAAAACTTCCATCTATTTACCTTTGAGATTTTTAATCTACTGACTTATGGGACATTCTGAAAATTAATTCCTAACCATTTTCACATACTGTAAATATCTTTCTGTGATTCCACTTTGATCTCTCCCAGCTTAATGACCACCATATGCTGGGAAACTCAATTTGCTGCTCATGTATGTCTGATCTGATTAGGTTACTTGATGCTTTTATTCACTTTGTCTGAATAAAGCAGCCAGGGGCCATTTGAATTTAAACTGACTTTGGGGGATCCTCTTATTGACATTTAGACATGGGTAGAGACAGCAGTTGGAGGAAGCAAGAGGAACTCCTGTTTGGGGCTTTCCAAAAGAAACCTGTCTTAGCCATGTATGTAGTCGCACACTTTTAGTAGACATTTAAAGAGTAAAAATAAAATTAATTTAAACAAATACTTTCCTTAACTTCATATGTCAACATATTATTTCAACATCTAATGGGTATAAAATACTAAATTTCTCAATGTCCCTTTTTATTTTAAACCTTTGAAGTCAGCCATGAACTTTTTACTTATGTCACATTTCAACTACAACATGTCACATTTCAAAGGCTTGAACACCACATCTTGTGAATGACAATCGTATCAGATGGGATCGATCCAGAAATCATTAGCTTTCTGTAACATGGGTTTTCTCAAGCACCATACTATTGACATTTGGACTACACTAAGAATTCTTTGTCGAGGCTGTGCCCCATGAAGTATTGGATGGATAGCATTGTCCCTGTCCTGTCCACCTGATGCCCATTCATAATATGACAAGAAAAAAATATCTCCAAGTGAAAGACACAACTGAAAGGAATTGACATGAGCATTATGATAAATTATCTTTATTTGAATTATCAGAAATCATCCCTGACTCCTCCCAGTGTCCTGCAGATTGTTCCTGAGGAAGTGAAGCAGGTAAGTGGAGATGTTGTGATGAGTGTTTCCTTCCAAAGATTCTAGATGTTTCTGTTCCCAACTGAGCCATTTAGTATGATGAATTAGTTGTTGACTGGAAGACCTGTGGATTGTAGAACTCTTCTTGCCAGCTCCTTTCAAAGTTTCAGCTCATCATGCTGAAAGCCGAAGTAAACACTTCGGAGCATGTGCCACCAGTACTCTTGCTGCATGTTATCATTGCCATGAGTACAGTGTTCACAGAACTTATTGGAATGCATTGGAAAAGTGGCAGCAATCAGAGCAAAAAGGGGGAAACAAACCTCTCTTCTTCCCTTATGTTGTACTTAGGTTCCCCGCTACCCAACTCTAGGGTGGGTGTAGCTTTCATGCTATCTCTGTGCTCTCCACTTGAAAATGTGGAGCATATTTACAAAGTTAGGATCCTGGCTCCCTGCTCAATCTCTTGTCTCAACTTGTCTCAAGTTGACACAATACATGAATCATAATGAACAGTACCTTTAGTGTAGTCCTGGATACGGGTATTTTAGACGAGAAGCCTCTATTTCTGCAAGGCACCATTAAAGACAAGTGTGCATTGTGTTTATATTGTCATTCTGTCATTGGTTTGCTAGAAGCAATTCATTTATTGAAGGATGAGCATTCAATCACTGTGAAATATTTTTGTTCTAGAGGTTTGATTAAAGATGAATTTGAGAAGGAGAAAAGTCTACTGTCCAGAATAAAAACTGAGAGTTCTAATATGGAATAGAATGAGAAAGTTCTTTAAATATTAGAATATGTATGTTCCATTCTGACCTACAAGGGCTCAGAGTATGACTTCTGGCATATATTTTATTTTTGTCCAGACGTTTCTTTTCTTACAGTATGAAAATTCCAGAGGACACAAAATTACCCCGAATCAAGGGATGGTTCATTCTAAGCCAGTCCATGGGTTCCTTGAAACTGCATTTTGTGATAAATAGAACCTAAAATTATTTTAATTATTTTCTTTAAAAGGCAAAAAAGAAAAACAAAACACAACAGTATAAGGGTACAAGTAATACAGAATTACAAAAAAATGGTAAGAAATCACTAGATAATAGATTACATATTGTCATTTTAGAAATAGTTGTTCAAGTTACAGGATTAAAACATACAAAATGGACATTCAAACAGTGAGACTGCAAACAGTTGTGTTCAATGATCCCCCCCAAAAACCTCAGTAATATGGTCATCTGTCTTAACACATCTAAATACACTTGCAGTTGTATCCTTTAGAGCACAGTTTTCCCTCACTTTTTACAACAAAATTTACACATTTTGGGTTTTATTACTCCCATAGTTCTTATTACTTTTTTTTGGGAAGAGAATAAAACCAAATATGAAAAAACAAAGCAGTAGGTCAAAACAAAGGTTAGACATAGCACATGATGTAAAAAGAGTTACAAGGTTATCAACAATGGTTACCATAATGCCTCTTGCTTCCTTAAAAAAATGCCTACATCATTAGGTATAATAAAATTGAACAAAACAGTAAAGAACAAAACCAATAAAACCTAAACATTGTAAGCACTACAGGAATTCAAAATAAGGTAATAATCAAACCAGAATGGGCATCATAGTGAATCTTATTGCCTTGAAAGTAGTTGCCTATACCCTCAAACTTGATACTATCAGACAGAATGGAACAGAGTCTAATCAGTCAAAACAAGATAGTGGGAATAATACAGGGATTCAAATCATGTTAGTAGGAAATCAAAAAAGTTACTATAATATATCCTGCTAATTTTCTGATTTTTTCCCTTAATTAAAAAATAAAAAAGTAAATAAATAACTTTTTTAGTGAATAAGGAGGAGATTGAGATAAAAGAGGACATAATAACATAACAATACAGGTCAAAGCATGACAAGTTTAGCAACCTAGTGATTCACCATATAACCCGACTTAATAGTAGTTACTATAGTGTCTCTTTCCTTGAAATATTGAATATAACTTCATATATTATAGCATCAAACATATCAAGACAGTATGAAACCATTGGAGTGGATGAAAGTATTAAAGGGTATTTAGTAGCAGCTAATGTAAAATGAACAATGGTTTCTATATTAGCTCTTTGCCTATAAAAATTATTATTTACTATCACATATAATAAAAACCAAGATACAACATGAAAAAAGTAATGGGGACAGAAAAACAACAGTTTGATGGGACTTCAAAACAAGATTATATTAAATCAGCACTGGCTATTATGATGTCTTATTTTCTTCAAAATAGCTGTTCATATCATCACAGGCAATAATATCAAAAGCTCAGAATAAAGCCATTCCAATTAATGAGTGAAAATTTTATAAGGCTTCAAAGCAAATAATGGGAATCATGATTACCACATACTTTTATATATTTGAATAATTTCTTACCTAGGAAAACTATTTGATATTCACACATGTGAGTTTGATTTATTTCACTTATGAATATGGTCTCAAGCTGTGCCCATTTATTGATAAATATCTCAATGTGATCCTTCTTTATAGCTGAGTAGTACTCCATTGCATAAAAATATCACAACTTTTTTGTCTATTCCTCAGTTGATGGACACTTGGGTTGTTTCCAAGATCTGGCTATTACAAATTGTGCTGCTATAAACATGGGCGCACATATATCACGGTGGTATGATGCTTTCAGTTCTTCTGGGAATATGCTTAGAAGTGGAATAGCTGGAACAAATGGGATTTCCAATCCCAACTTTTTGAGAAATCTCCAGACTGACCTCCACAATGGTTATACCAGTCTACACTCCCACCAACAGTGCAGGAGAGTTCCTTTTTCCCCACAGCCTCTCCAGCATTTGTTATTGTTGGTTTTCTTCATCCTGGCCATTTTTTCAGGAATGAGATGCAATGTCAGTGTGGTTTTAATTTGCATTTGTCTACTGACTAATGATGATGAACATTTTTCATGTACTTAATTGGCCATTTGTATTTCTTCATCTGAGAAGTGTGTATTCATCTCAGATGCCCATTTGTGGATTGGATCTTTCAATTTTGGGGGTGTGAGTTTTTAAAATTATTTATATGTTTTAGAAAGAAGTCCCTTGTCTGAGGGAGATTTCACTAAGATTTTTTCCCAGTTTGTGCGTTTTCTTTCACTATGCTTGAGATTTTTTCTGACATGCAGAAACATTTTAATAAGAAGTGGTCCCAACTATTGATTCTGGGAAGTATTTTCTGTGCAGTTTGAGTCCTGTTCATGAATTCCCTACCTACCCCTATGTGTTCAAGATTTCTATCCAATTTGTCTTCCAATAGATTTAGTGTTTCTGTTTTAATATTCAGATCTTTGATGCATTTAGATTTTAATTTAGTACATGGTGACAGGCATGGGTCTAGTTTTAGTTTTGGTAAATGGAGAGCCAGTTTTTCCAACATCATATTAAAGAGACTGTCGTTCTTCCAGTGAACCTGTTTGGCTCCTTTATCAAAGATAAGGTAGTTGAGTGTGTTTGTATCTTTTAATCTATTCCATTAATCTTTGGCTCTGTTTTGATTCCAGTATCATGTTGATTTTAGTACGGTTGCTTTGTAGTAAAATTTCAAGTCAGGGATTGTGATGCCTCTTGCCTTGCCTTTGTTGCTTAGAGCTGTCTTTTGTATTGTAGGTCTCTTCTCACTCCAGATGAATTTTAGGAGTGACTTCTCTAGATCTATGATGTATATTGATGGTATTTTTATTGGGATTGCATTGAATCTGTATAAGAGTTTTGGGAGAATGGCCATTTTCACAGTATTTATTCTTATCCATGAGCAAGGGATATCATTCCATTTTCTGAGATCCTATTCAATTTCTATTTTTCAGTGTATTATAATTTTCCCTATATAGATCTTTCACTACTTTTGTGAGAATAATTCTGAAATACTTCATTTTTTTGGTTGCTAGTGTGAAGGGTGTGGTTTCTCTTATTTCTCTCTCTGTAACAACAAAATCCAGAGAAAGAAATAAGAGTATAGAAATGTTCTTAATTTTTGAGTATTAATTTTGTACCTAGCTACATTGCTGAATTTATTTATTCTATCTAAGAGTCTTTCAATGGAGTTTAGGGGGTCTTCTATGTAGAGTATCATGTCATCTGCAAACAATGATAATTTAACTTCTTCTTTTCCTATCTTTACCCCTTTTATTTCTCTCCCTTGTCTGATTGCTCTGGCTAGTGTTTCCAGTAGTATATTAAATAGGAGTGGTGATAAAGGACATCCTTGTCTTGTGCATGATTTTAAAGTAAAGGCCTTCCATTCTTGGCCATTTAGTATGATACTGGTTGTTGGTTTGTTATAGATGGC